GTGATTGGAATTTGTAAAGAGCAATGCGCGAAAGCAGTTTTGAAGGGGATATTACTAGACTGCTGAAAGCTGTCGCGCCAAATACAACAGTCGTTGTACAAGTTAAATGTAAACCAGCTTTCCTCCGCTACTTTGGATTGTACCCCGGAACAAACGCATTCTACACAAACAAATGCATGCAAGAAAGCACTTGTTTATGCAACATACATAATCAGCCATGTAAGGAGAGTTTGTTAATTTCAGATCATTGCCTGTGCTATTTTTAACTTACCCGTGATGGTGTGCACCAGCGCAGGTCCTGTGTGATGAACGTACGTCAAATAAGGCAACAATAGGAAACAATCAGTTTCACTTGCCTATTTTGTAATTGTTTGAACTACTTACTGTGCGGCCCTCTTACTATTTACGATAAGTCGTTTTCGGAATGGGCCAGCACTTAAAGCAACCTCAAATCTGACACTGCAACACTTGCATCTTCCTCATTTACTCACACCGTTAAAGACTGTGAATTGTTGAATAGCACCGACAAATGTAGTGGAGTGTGCACTCACCCGATGATGTCGTTCCTGGTAGTAAAATGTGGAAAACACAGCACTCAAATGATGGGCAAACTGCCCTCTCCAAGAAAAGACCTAATTGTGCAGCATTACTGCAAAGCTGCCTCAAATGTTCGTTTGAGACTAAATGATGGCCATCAAATCAAGCCACGGTGGACATTTACTTAAAGCGACTTTGTTCATGCTGAAGGCTGTGCATGTCAATCTTACCAAATGAGGGTAATGTACTCTGCGCTTCCCAGTATTCTAAAACACAACATGCACAAAACAACTCAAACATTTGTGCAACAGTTGGCTTACGCGAATATTCTTAGTTGCATGAAATGCTTTTGAGGCAATTAAGTGCCACTGGCAGCAAGAGGGACTCTTTGGAAGAAATCGCGCTACGACAAACTTACGATTGCATTCTGCCACTTCTGGTGACGTTCCTAAAGCCGAAGTTACGATTCTTAGTAATTGGAAGCAAAAGATTTCGACTGTCCCCTGCTAAATTTGGTGCATACAACACGACTAGACAGTGTTGTTAGGCCTCAATGTAATTTGGTCAAGAGAGAAGGACTAATTTGTGTATCTGACTACAATTGGCATAATTGCAAATGCGT